AATAAAATAAAATAAAATAAAATAAAATAACAATGTTAATACAATTGAAAATAGCAACTAAATTAGGTATTGACAGGAGGGAGGGCTGCCTAAAGAGACAGGTCTTGAGTTGGCTCTTAAAAACACTCAGCAAGGGAGCCACACAAATTTCTGGGGGCAGATTGTTCCAGAGGTGAGGGGCCACTGCCGAGAAGGCCCGTTTTCTTTCTTTTTCTCTTTGGGCCCCCCTCACGTTAGGCTGCTCAGCCGCCCATCTTGACTAAAGCAAGTGATTCAGGTAGGTCTAGGTGGGAGGAGGTGTTCTGTGAGATATTGAGGTCCTAAACGGTTTAGGTCTTTATGTGTTATCATTAGTACTTTAAAATCGATGTGGAAATGAACGGGAAGCCAATGCAGAGCAGCAAGTGTAGGGGAGATATGTTGATGTTTTCTCACCCCAGTAAGAAGCCTGACTGCCGCGTTCTATACCATTTGAAGCTTCCACATCAATCTCAAAGGTAGCCCCACGTAGAGCACATTACAGTAGTCTAATCTCAGGAATATCTCCCAGTTGCCTTCTTGATGCCTGCTTCATCCAGAGCTAGCCCTGTTATTAGGCAGAGTAAGGCAGGCGCCTCACATGGCAGAGGCTGAAAGGATGTAGAATGAACTGAGGTGTTATGCGTCATATGACCTACTCTGTCTTCATTATCTCACTCCCCTTTCCCCCTTTGGTACAACACTGCCGTGGGAATTCTAGCAGTCAAAAAACATAATTTTCCTGAGCAATGTCACTGTGACACAGTGCTGGATAGAGAATCTGTATGTATCCGGCTGTGGGCTGTGAAATTTGTGCAGGCATGTTTGTTGTGTAAATGAATTGCCACCTGCCCCTGGAGGTTTGTGGCTGGCAAACACGCTTTGCAGCTGGTGCAAAGAGATGCGTGGGCACAGTTCTAACAGTCAGGAAGGAAGGATGAAAGTAGACATGACATGGCATGAGTTCAATCCAATGCAGGTCTCACCAAATTGCTACAACATGGCGGGCAGCATATGTGGGTGGGTTAAGCACAATGATCTATTCTGGGCCCGTGTGTCTGCTCAGTACAAGCATGCAAGATAAGCCCTGGCAGAGACTATGTTCTGCATGGGTAGTAGGCATCCTTCAGTCTCGAGAAACTATGGTAACGTGCTCTGAATGGAGGATTTGGAGCAGCATCTACTGTGGCTGAGAAGGCCAATTTGAGAAGTGACAATCCCTTCCACACTGAGGACAAATACAATCTGTCCACTGTCTAGCTCCCTGATTTTGTGGTTTTGGGACTGCCTCTTCGCCTTGGCCTGCTGAACAAGGGTCTCTTCCAATTGGGAGAGGCCATGATGCACCACCTGCCTCCAGGCTGAATGCTCAGATGTCAGGGTTTTCCATCTGTTAAGGTCCATTCCTAAGGCTTTCAGATCACACTCGCAGATACCCTTGTATCACAGCTATGGTCTCCCTCAGGGGCACTTTCCCTTCAGTAATTCTCCATACAGGAGATCTTTTGGAATCCGACCATCAGCCATTCTCACGACATGCCCGAGCCAGCATAGACGTCACTGTTTCAGTAATGTATTGTGAGACAGGAGGCAAGCTGAAATTCCCACTTGCTGGAGCACCATCCCTTCTCATCAAAGAGACAGAGGATGGAGGGAAAGGAGAATCCCAATCGACTCCTGTAAAAATACCTGAGGAGTCTCTACAGAGTGCAGAAATAGAGGGAGTAGAGGAAGAGTTAAGAGAGATGGAAATAAAGGAGGAAGGGTTAGAAAAGGTAGGAGAACGAAGTGAAAAGAGGGAGGAGACTGAAGCGGGTATAGGAGAAGTGAGAGGGAGGAGAGACCAGTTACCTGCAGGTTGGGAATGGATCTGGTTGCAAGATCCATGGACTCAGAGATGGGAGAAGAGGCAGATTACAGATGAGGTCAGTGCCTGCAGGTTGGGAATGGATCTGGTTGCAAAATCCATGGACCCAGAGATGGGAGAAGGGGCAGATTACAGATGTCGGTCAGTGATACCCCCTCGGCCCTCTTATTGGGGAGAGGCTGAAGCAGGAGAGAAGGACATTGAAAAAGGAGAAAGAATGTCTTATTGGGGAGAGGCTGAAGCAGGAGAGTGGAGAAGGAAGTTGAGAGAGAACAAGTAGAAAGGGAAATGAGAGAAAGAATTGAATGGAGAGCACGGGAGATGAGGAGGCTGGCAGAGCGACAACAGACTGGAGATGAGGAGGCTGGCAGAGCGAGAACAGACTGTGAGACCTTGGAACCCAAGAGAGGTACCCAGTGGGATGATCCCAATGAAGACAAGGCCGTGCCCTTGTTGCCTATATCAACAGGGAACATCCTGAAGGGATGGATGTCACCCAAGTTACCAGGACCCTGGAATACCACTTACCGAGTTACCAGGACCCTGGAATACCAGTTACAGCAACCCTTTTGTATTTGACAGTTAGAAACCCCTTCTTGACCCGTTGGAGGAAGGAGACAAGGAATGCTCAGAACTTCAAGGCAATTTACTTCTTGGTTCTAAAATAAATGTTCCACAGTTTCTACTGCCATCTGTGTTGTCTGAAATTATTGGAGAAAAGAAAGATCTTAC